GACTTGATGTAAGTTTAGATTAGATCCTTCTTTGATCATGTCTGTCCCTGAGATATTTGATCGGGACAGAGATGCCATACAACGACGTTCCTGTAATCAGTTGGCCATACAAAAAAAGAGACACAGAAGACGTCTCTCCGACCTTCAAATTTAAAATTCACTGCCTTTTGGATTTTTGCATTCTTCTCTTGTACGTGGGCAGTTACATTCCTTAAATAATTTCTTCTTCTTTGGATCCGAAAAAACAGAAGAAAGAACAATCCCAACCCCCGACATGACTAAGTAACACCATCATCGGTTATGACCAGACGTATTGTACAGCCATCAGAGAATGAGGCCGAAGGGTTTTCTTTAGTGGGCTAGCAGTTGGTCCTTACTGGGCTTCCTCGGGCTGGGCGCACTCCTCTCTTCTCTGCCTTTTCAGCCGCCCCTTCTTTTTTTTGTCACGCTGAGCCGGCCTTTTCACCTATATGGGTTGCTCTATTCCTTTCCCTTTTCCGTTTTAATGGGCCACTCTCTTTCAATTTTTGGCTTCTTTGTTAAAACGACGTATTTCGGCTCCGTTTTTTTTCTCTCTTCAGCGGCAGCACCTTTCTCTCTCCAGAACAGCCTTGAAAACCTTTCTTTGGCCGATTCTTCCATCGCCGGCAGCGTCTAAACTCCCTTCTCTTCCTCTTTTCCTTTCCCGTTTTACCCATTGAAAACCCTCAAGCACTCCCTAGAAATCCAACCCGAACCCAAATCTTCCCTTCTCTTCCTCTCTACCTACACTAGCACTAAAGCCTCGATATTTTTCTGCATTTTCTTCTTCTCTGTTGTTGTCGTTTTCTTTTTGTTGTTTCTAGTGATTTTGTGTGTTTTTGGCTGCTGCTCTATAGGATTTTTTTTGCAGGGTTTTTCCCCTTCGATTTTTTGCGTTTGTCCGTTTCTTTTTTTTTATTATCATTTTTTTGTCTCCGTTTTTCCTATTTTCAGATTTGTTCTGATTTTTGTTTTGTTCATTGTTTTTCTCTGTTAATCGTTTTGGAAACCCTTAAACCGGTTTTGGAAACCCTTAAACCGGTTTTGGAAACCCTTAAACCGGTTTTGGAAACCTTAAACCGGTTTTGGAAACCCTTAAAACCGGTTCTTTGAGAACCCTAAAACCGGGTTTTCTCGAAACCCTAACGGTGGTTCGAACGAAAGGCTTAGGAAGGCCGTTAAAAGCCTGCATAAATTGGACATCATGAGCCCAAAAGAGGACTGAAATTTCAAGATATCTGTTTTCTTAGATAAAAAAACGAAATTAAAGAAGGAAAGGTGACCAGTAGTATCCAATTCTCAATTGATTATCCAAAAAAAGAGAAAAAAAATTCCAAGCTTCTTTCAATATGAAAGCGCCGGCATCAGCCTCTTGGAAAGGCCCTCTCAAGTTCAGGATGTAAGCTCCTCCTCCTTTTCCCCATTCCTTCTTTCTATCTAGGTTTACTTCTAATCCTTTTACGGCCTCGAGTCTTCATTCTTATTAACATAAAAAGGTTGATCGCCAATTTTTTTTTTCTGAAAGGCCTACAGCTGAAAATTTAGTACCCATTCGGCTGGACATCGAAGTGGACGGGCAGCGCTATAAAGACGCCTTTACTTGGAACCCTAATGGTATGACCTTAAATACCGTTTCTTATGAATTCAAGAAACTTGGAATTTTTAGAAGCAATTTGCTAACCCAACATGTTGTGCCCCTGTGTGCGTATACATATCATTATGTGTATATAAAGATCCAGATTCGGAGGTGGTGATGTTTGCCAGAAGGACAGTGAAGGACTTGAAGCTTGCCCCTGGTTTCATTCCTCAAATTGTTCAATCCATTCAGGTAACTATCAATTGTCAACAACAATAATTGACACTTTAAAGCCATTATGTAGTGTTGAATTTAACGTTCTCCTATTCTTCACTCTGCTGGTCATTTATTAGTCACAGCTCGCCGACTTTCGATCTTATGAAGGCCAAGATATGTATGCCGGTGACAAGATTGTTCCAATTAAGGTTTGCCTTTCATTAATAAAATACCAACAACATGTATATATATATGTATATATATTACCAATTTCCTTTTATGAACTTCTAGCACCTACTTACCCATCGCATGGACTTTGTCAGCTTGATCTTCGAGTCAATCATACTGTTATCAGGGATCAATTTTTATGGGTAAGAATGTAGAAGTGTTTTGTATCATATTATATGCTTCCAAGTTGCGAATTCTTCCCTTGTTTACTCATGCTTGTTCATCCTTTATCTTTTACATTCTATGTCAATCAGATGCTTGAATGTAGTTATCCTAATTTGTTTTAGGACTTGAACAACTTTGAAAGTGATCCAGAGGAATTTTCTCGAACTCTATGCAAAGATTTAGGCATTGAAGACCCTGAAGTTGGGGTAAGTAGTATGTTTTTAGAAGTATACCAGTAACATATTCTTCCTACCGGACAGGATGAGAAACAGTTACTATTCAGTATTGTTCTTTTCAACACTGTTTCCTGTTCGGTTTCTGTTCCTTTAAAATTTTTAATATGTATCCCATTTCTTTATTCTTTGCAGCCTGCAATTGCCTATGCAATTAGGGAGCAACTTTATGAGGTAGCTATCATGTGTTTATAAAATCTACACTTGTATGGCATATTGGTTATTTGGTTTAAGTCGTTTATCATTGTACTGCTATGTGTTTTAGATTGCAATTCAAAATGTAACTTCAGCAAGAGAGAACAGAACAAGCAAGAAGGGTCGCCGGGGTGCTGAACATTTCCTTCCCAGGTTTTTGTGTTGTTTGCTTATAATATTGTCTGAAATAGGGGAAGGAATTTTTTTTTTCTCATCAGAATGGTTTAATACTTTAATCTAAGCATTTTTCTCCCCTTTTTTCTTACTACATTTATTTTGTCTAAGCATGTCAAGCTTCATTGTTTTATGTATGTTGATGACATTACTCTCTGTTTTTCCTCTCTCACAGTAAAGCAGGTGGTGCTGCACTGGATTTGATAAAGTTATTCAGTTTCAGATCAAGTGTGGTTCGGTAGGCCCTTTAAATAAATCTTGTGTAGAAAATTCTTTTGTAATGAGCCTGGAAAATTTGTTCATGGTCTGGAATTTGGTATTTTGGGGGTAGGATTTTGATTTTAAAATCTAAGATTTCAAATTACTTCTTCTAGTATGTATTTGTTAAAGCCAACGATTAGGCTTTCTTACATACTCCCATATTAGAGAACATCCCGAATTTATGATAGGTTGAAATTTTGAAATCAAACCTAGATTCATTAAAACAAAATATTTGAAATCAACATTATTGAAGTTTATAAAGTTTAAGTCCAAATCCATATTCAAATCTAGGTTGCCAACCCAACCTTTGATTTTGTTGTCATGGTGGTTTAGAAATTGCAAGAAAGCTCCATGTCAAAGTGAAATGATCTTGAGACTTACCCCAACAAGTTTAGTATCTAAGTACCTTGAATTTTAAAGCATTTTTTAATTGATTTTCTTCAAAGCAAGCTAATGAGCTTTTCTATAAGCAATTTGCTCTTCGCTTACATCACAACAGAGCAAGTGTAACATTGCTCTCCATTTGAGTTGTGCATTGCTTTTCCCACAATGGTATAATTACGTTCATTTTGTTTGATCTGTCACTTTACTGGAAAATTTCTTGAGCAAGATACCTACTGGTTTGCCCTTTGTTTCTGACGTATCAGGAAAAGAAAGGAGTGGGATTATTATAAACCCACTCTCGATCTTTTATCAAATGAGGACGTGGATGCCCTTGAAGCCAAAGAAGAGAGGAGCGGTCGGTAAATAAACATAGTATATAGGATGCTTGTGGGTTTCTTTTTTTCTTTGTAAACAATAGACATTTTGGAAGGCAGATTTTGGTGGTTATGTAGATTATTGCAGCTTAGTTGTAGAGTCATATTTCCTTTCTTACTTTATGTGATTTTAACCAAGGATTCAACAGTTAGATTTGTAGTCCACCAAGATAGATTTCTGTTATTTAGTAACATTACAAATTCATTATAATACTTTTGTAATTTATCTGTGACCCTATAAATGGTATACCAAAATTGATTTGTGCATTACAAACATTATCAAAATCCAGGTTTCCTATAATTATCAAAATCCTCATATCCTTTTCAGTAACTACACACTCTGATGTTAGTTAATTACAAAAAGAAATATATGACCCAAAATGGTCAAGGTCGGGCTGAGGTACTAAACATGGCTTTTAGACTTTTGGTTAAGAACTGAGCCTGACTTGGCTTATTGGAACTGCTAGTTGAAAAGAGCCCGTCGTCCCTCTTATTTAAAGATTAATGATAAGATAGATTTAAAGATTAATGATAAGATAGATTGCGCAGATAAAACACATGTATTCTACAGGATCCGTTTGACAAGATGAATTTGGATTAATGTGTTTGACTTAGAACCTGTTTGGTTTAGTTTTTTTTAGTTTAAAAACTAGAAGCTCTTATGAAAAATAATAATTTTTACAATTAAGTTGGAGTTATTTGATAATTTTATTTTATAAGTTTTTTTTATAAATTATAATTTTAGTTAAAATTGTTGTATAGGTTTTTTTTATAGAGTTATATTGTAATTATTTTTAACAAATATTTTTAAAATAAAAATAAAAAAATTATATATATTTTTTTTAAAAAAAGAAAAGCTCTTTTAGGAGCTTTTCCTAAAGCTCTTTTTTTAAAATTTTATTTTTTAAAAAAAAGTTATTTTTTTTAAAAGCTTTTCAAAACTTATGTTTGACCTGACTTTTACTTTTAACAGATAAATTGAAAAAAAATCAAGCCAAACAAGTACTTAGAGATCCAAATTAAAAAATTCACTATTTAAATTTAATAAAGTTATAAGAATTTAGACGTGAATACATAGTTTATGATAAATCTTATTAAAAGTTGAGATGCGTATATGTAAATCGTAGTTTATACAAAAAATTTATAAAAAAATCATTGGAATATGCACACAAATTAATAACCCAAGAAAAAAAAGTGAAATTCAATTTGATACAGAGTAATACCAATAACAATTCAATTTGTAAAGAACGATTGGAAGCAATCTCTCTATATATATATATATATATATATGTATGTATGTATGTATATGTTGCTTCCATTGTTCAAAACAGGCCTTCTTCAATTTATTTCCCAGAAGCAAATTAACGCCTAATTAGGTTAATTCTTCTGAGCCGAGGCAAAGCTCTTAACAAGGGTTAATGCATTGCTTGTCAAATGTGCAACTTTAACAACGCGTCCTCTGACTCCGCGCTTCACCTTGCTTTTGATGGCCTTATTAGCCAATGCATTCATGCAGGTCTCCTCTTCATCCAATGCTGTGTTCACCCACATCTGAATATCGTTCATTTGAACCTGAAGATCAGAGCCTTCGGCACGGTCCATTTCCTTTATAGACTTTTGCAACTTCTGCACTGAATCACTTACATCCGCAATGCAATCCACCATGGCCGCAGCTTCATTTGGTCCCAAGCCGTGCACTTTTGACATATTGGCTAGCAACTTTGAAGTCGTTTTGGCAGCGAAGAAGCTCGTGTTGAGAGCTGCATGGGCTAATAGCTTGGGATCGGCTTTGATTTTGCTTGCATGGCGTGCCAGAGATTTAAGGCACAACTTAGGATAAGTTGTGGCCCTGCAAGAATTTTTTATATACTTTCGGTTTGTAAGATACTCATTGCTATGAGATTTTCTAGAGGCTGAGCATGTGCTGAAGTAGGAGGAGAATTGCAGAGCAATAAGCAGAATTATTAATGCATGGATTGAAAATGTTCTTTCCATTTCTCAATTTTTTGTGTATTATGGGGTAGTTTAATGAATTGGAGAGGGGAAGAGAAAATCCCAATTTATAGAAAATCCTTCCTCCCCTCCAAAGTCTGAGAATTTGGGTTTCCTTACAGGGAAAGGCCTGTTTCAGAATATAGTAGCTAGGCAATAAAGATGATATGATAGCATTAATGATTCCAGAAATCCAAAATTTGTATTTCTACATTGTCTATCGCAATCCTAATTTAAGCTCTGTTCATGGGAGAGTTAATATATATTTATTTGCATGTCAATTGCCAGAAAAAGGATTTTTACCAATCCTTTTTTACATTAAAAACAATATTAATTTGAATTCTATTTATGATGTTACATGTGCAAAATGCAATGCATGTGTGTCATTGTCTGGTTTTCTTTCATAAACCCCAACAAGCAACTCCCTCCCTATTCTTGCAACGGGGTGACTTAAGTATCTGTTTCTCATTCTTCTGCCCATCTGAGTAACTCTCCTTTTCTGCTAATAGAAGATGATTTATCAACGTTTGTAATGTATCACATAAATATTACTACTAGATTTTGCAGGTTCGATTTTGATCTGGGTCAGCCCAGATCATAATGTTTCTACTCTTTAGCCTTCATTTTTGCCCAGATAATTCAAGTATCTCTAGAAAGTGCTACAATGATATTGTTTTCTGTTCAGGCAAATCATGGAAACTGCTCTCTTCCCTACATAATAAAGTGAAAAGAAAAAGGGCAAATAAGGCTGTAATTTTTCTGTTTGAAAGAGAAACCAAATGTCATATCACTCAAATTTGAATTATGAAAATATCACCGGTTGGCCTTAAAAGCATGAGAATCCATGTCTCCACAAATCCTGTCTAGCTTTTACATCCTGACTGGACCCGCAATATGATACTTCCTGAGAGCACTAAAATATCTTATGCAGTTTCTAAGGAAACCAAAGATCAAGCAGGGCAATAGAACATGTTTATATTGTGATCCATCAGTTAGGCTTTTGTTTGGACAGTCGTGGCTTTGGGGGTGTAATATTGGGAAAAGATTCAAAACTTTAGTTGGAGTGTTTTAGACTTGTATGAAAAGAAACTAGATGATCCACAAACAACAATTTGCATGCGGCATGTAATTGCAAAATCAGGAAATCCATATCATCAACCAACGGGTGCCTGGGGCTAAAGTAAACATCAAATCAGTTATTAACTTTAGGATTAGACAAGAAGCTTCCCCAAAATCTGTCGATGTAGATGTTGCATCTATAGATAAGGATTCATGGCCAAAATAATTTTACAAGATAATTAAGGGGAAAAAAAATGAGTGTGTAGATTATGACTAGCTTAAATTCTGTCTTGTATACTTTAATCCAACAATAATTGAGAATTTTCAGGTGGGAAAAGAGATTGAAAGCAGACCTTGATTTTTGACATTATAGTACATTTCCATAGCAGTCCACACATTTAGAGTGCCATACTCCTTTGATACAGTACAGAAATCAAGAAACAGTAATAACTGCAGTGCACAACACAATCTGCAGTCTCCTGCTATCTTACAACTCTATCAACTTGTGCTTCTAAATTTACTTTGGGACAAAATTTTCTCATTGCCCTGTTTGAAAGCATACAACTCCCAAAGCAAATTGAACATGAAGCAACAGCTGCATAATTCTAAAACAGAGTAAGATAAATCCTGTACATATTAATCTTCACTGTGTTACTATAAGAAATTCAAATAAGGAGAAAGAAAACAAGGGCTTCCTTAAGTAACTTCTCTTCAAAACTTTCATGAGAAGTATTCCACATGAGGAGAAATTAAGGTAAGTTACTTTCAGTTGAGGCATAGTTGTTGATGAGAACCAGGGCATTGCTTGTCAAATGTGCAATTTTAACAATTCGTTTTCTTACCATAGTTTTTGCATATCCATTCATGGCCTTGCCTGCAAATCCATCCATGCAAGTATCCTCATCTGTCAGCGCTGCGCTAACCCAGGTTTGAATATCACTCATTGTAAGGGAAAAATTTGAGCGTCTAATGTGACCAAGTTCCCCTATAGACTGTTGCAGCTCATCTACAGAGTCACCAATTACCTCAATGCAATCTGCCATGGCTGCAGCTACCCTAGGCCTCAAACCATGGATTCTTGAGATCTTTATCATCAACCTTGAAGTTGACTTGCTGGCTTTGAGGGTTACGTTGAGCGCAGTATGGACTAACAATCTGGGGCTGGTGTTAATTTTGCTTGCATAGATTGAGAGGGAGCGGTAGCACAATCTGGGGTAAGTTGTGGTGCTGCAAGAAGATTTGATGTATTCGATGTTCCTTTGGCTGTGAAATGGTGTATCAGCTGAGCTTAAGGCTGTGTAGGTAGTGAATTGAAGGATAATTAGCAGGATCGCCAGTCCATGGCGTGAAGATGAGCCTTCCATTCTCTCTCTTTCTCAGGATTGGTAGGAAGTTAAAGGGTCGACTTTTATGATTTTAGGGAGGGAAAAGAATGGTCGATTTATAGAAAACGTTGAGTTTGTGGTTCCCACGATTGAGGAAGAAAAAGCCTGATTTTAAGGGGGAACTATCCTGGGTAGGAAAGCATGGGCAAGAAAAGATGCTAAGAAAGCAATCAATATGGGTGGACAATGTACATTTCAGAGCTAGCCGTAAGTTTATTGAATATCAGTACGAACTGTAATTATAATCTTAACAGCTATGCCAAGAAGTGCAGAGAGTGGTTAAATTGTCAATGAAGTAAGAATTCACCTGCTTGAATCCTAGGATTAATGGACCCCTGTCCAAAACAGGAAAAGAAGAAGAAAAAAAACCCCTGCAAAATTAAAAAACTGATGAGAGAATTTTCAGATTTGTATCTTACCCACCATTTTTCAGATATGTATTACTTTATGGGTTTGGACTTCATCAGAGGATAACAGGAAATTTGAAATATTTGAACACTTTAATGACTCTGAACATTTGAAATTCCAAAGTAGGTCAACAATGTAAAAGTAATTCATGAAAAAAATTGGGTTCAATAACTGTTGAGCACATAAAGCAAACATAAGGCCGACAGTAAAGCAGCAAAGTTTGCAATTAATCATTAGGCTCAATCAAAACCTTAATGAGTCTAATGACACTGAATTGAGCATCAGTGCATAAACAACTGATTCTGATTCTGATTCTGGCAAGGATTTGAGCCTCATTCTCAAATCCTAGCCCTAGGGTTCACCTCTGAATTTCTGAGGTGGGAGTTTTTGACTTGATCCTCCAGGTCGTCAATCAAACCCGTAAACTAGTGATCAGCTGGGAAAAATAAAATGCAATCTAGGAGCTAAGGCCTGCCCTCAGAACGTCACCATCAAGCCCTGTTTTAAACGATGATAAAATGAAAGGAACAAGACAAATATTGTATAAGCGTCAGGATGCTATTTTTAAATTGAATCTGGCAGAACTGAAAAATCGTGCAAGCAATTAATTGAGAAGCGGACTGACATGCCAAATGTCTTATGACCCGTTCCTATTCTATCTTTTTCAGAGTTTATGGCATTATTGGCCTAACCTTAACTGATTGAGGTGTTATCTGAGGACATTGAAGCTAGATGCAGATGAATGAGGCTCATTAATTTTAGTGATTTGATTTGTTATTGGATATCTATCACATTGTTTGTGTAGGCCTCGTTCTATGAGAACAAAGCATTACAGTAACAGATTTGAGTTCTCTTCAGAAGATAATGAGTGCATCCAATTATTGATATATATATATATATATATATAAAGGAAAAAGAGATTAAAAAAAAAAAGGAAGAGATCAGGGCAGAGGAATCTGAGTAATGTTTCCAAAAGCAAATCAAAATTTGTCCAGGAGGTTGTTTCACAAAAACTTTAGAGATTCCATATCTACACTTCTTGCTTAAAAAACTAAAAATTAAAGGGAGATTTCTGTCAGCTTTGCCCAAGATAAATGCTAGGGAGGAGGAGGTCTCCAAATTTATGGTTAAGCATCTGCTAGTACATTTGGGTGGGGACAATAATTGGAAAAACTCAAAAATGCTTATGTCATGTGCAAATAATTGTAGTTGTGGATCTGGCCATAGCTGTGAGAGCTTTCAAGTTTATCATGTTTTCACAGAAGTGACTGCAATCATTTGAAACACGAAAATAAATTTTAGTGGGATAATTCAAAATTAGTCAGGAGAAAAAGTAATATGATCATTCAAACGCAACAAACCAATTTTTAGGACTTGTAATTTTCAATTTGAAAATTTTCAAATTTAAACTTATCCATTAAAATGAAAGAATTGAAATCTAGAAAAGTTAATGACTAATTTATGCATGGGACCAGCGTCAGGAGTATCCAAATCCAAAACCCTAGTGTTTAGTCAAAATAAGCAGTGCCAACCCAAAGCTAACTTAATTTTCCTTTTTTGATCTTAGAGTTTCCACAACTCAAAGTTTCACAAAAAAAAAAAAAAAATTGATGATGTTAGGGCTGAAGATGTGGGATTTGTCTAGAACCATGTGGCCAGGTAGGAAACCATTCAATATAAGCTGAGGCTTGAGGCCCCATACTGATGTGTTTTCCACGAATTGCAAGAAAAAGACCGACACAATGATAATAATAATAATAATAAAAGTTTTAGTATTATGTTTTAAATCGGTTGCAAATTAAAGAGAAAAATCTTACTACATTAATCTAAAGTAACCGTTAATTAGTACTAAAAAAGAATGATAAAAAGGTTAAATATTCCATGTGGTCTGATCATATATATCAGTCCCCTGTCTGTTCCATTTACCTTTTTCTTTGCAGTTGTCAAATGGTCGCAAATCACTTTGTGGGGACTTGAGTCTCTTTTATGGGTAGCTTTCAAGTTCATGAACTATTTTTTTTTTCATTCTTTATTATTTTCTGGATCAGAATCCAGAGGCAAAAATTTTCCTTCTAACAGCTTGTTTTCACCATAATCTTGATTTCTCCCTGACTTTTTCCCAGAGGATCCTAATCCTTAATCGAAATTGAAACGTAGTAAAGATATGGTTATGTAAATAAAACCTGCTACAATCTCAGTCACAAGTCAGGAACATTGCTAGTTGTCTTGTCCCGTCAGCCGTAAAGATTTCCTTTGGAGGATTCTAGAACAGAGCTTGCATGTTGTGTCTGCCTAAGAGAGGAAGAGATAAGCTTGCACATGCTCCCTTAGAAACAGAGATAGGCTTAAAAAAAAAAAAGGGTTTCGCAACTTGTTATGTTGAAGATTTGCGTTAACGTCATCGTTAGCATGAAGGACCAAGAAGAGGATTTGCGTTAAAAGACAAGCTAACTTAAAAAGCATAATGGAATTCGGTCGCCTGCCGGTGAAGGGGGTCTACATCTGTCAACAGGAAAATAAAATAATAATCACATTCATGATGACTTTTTTGCTTTTTAGCTTTGTTAAATCCGTTGATTCTGGCCCGACTGTCCCCTGGTTTTCTTTCTGCTTAAACATAAAGTTAGGTTCTGATCAACTATATAATATATAATCACAATTTCTACAAAAAAGAAAAGCATAAAACAGGAGGCCAATTTGTCTGTGGTATATCCTCCAAGGGTCGAAATTATTACCTAGGTAGGAGTCCACACTATCTATGAAATCTAAATGAAACGAATTATTCCTTTTATTTTAGCACCAATTGAACAGTAGTTCTCTGTTTTTTTATGCTTATTAATATAATCCAACGTCGTGGAGCAGGTTCAAGCTCGATAATGGTAGATCCCAAAACCATTTAATACAAGCTCAAAGTAACTAATCTCCCATTCCTATCCGTCATTTCATTCTTATTGTATTTATCTTCTTCTGTAAGGGCTGGAAGAAATCAGGCGTCAGCTGTCGAAACTTAAAAAAGATCTTGTAACCCAAAATTAAAAAAAAGAAAGAATAATAATAACATCCAAGTGGTCTGATTTCACATGCAAGACAAACGAAATACTGGATGGAAATCCGTTTAAAGACGTTTCTGATGCATGACTCAACGCAAAAATGACAGTTAACTTAGTCTAATTGATCACTGAACCGAAGCCCCAAAGACGTTATTTTTCAACAAGTCACAATCTTTGAAGTAGATTTATCACAAAAAAAAAGGGTTCTCTGCATTTGTAACCTCTGCTGGGGTCTCAGCCTTGTCTCTTGATGCGTCTGTTTTGTTTCTTTCATGAAGAGGACTTTGTTGTTTTTTCTGTGTTTTGTCCTGTGGGGTTGGGTTCATCGCTTTCTGTGGCTGTTTTGGACCTTGTACCAGAACTCTGCTTTCGATACTTAACCTTTTAGATAATGAAGAAATCATTTATGCAGGGACAGATTTATCGAAGGTTAATATATGGAATCAGGTGAAAGAAAAGATAGAAGACAATTCATTCAACCAAAATATAAAAAAGGAAAAAATACTTCATTTACGCTTAATTCCATTATACAGAAAACAGAACTTTACTATCATACAAGGCAACAGGAGTGTTTTAGCATGGACTTGAAGTTGATATGTAAATGATATGGTTTCATACAATCCAAGCAGGCTGAGACCCTTTTAGACAAGATCCAGACAGGCACAAACCTTACTTACAGACGCCAACAACATTTTTATACACTAACCAGAGGTCCTCCAGAGGGAACCTAATGCTCCCCAGCAGGTGCAGCAGCTCCGTGTCTTGCTGCTAAGTGATTTACTAATGCAAGTGCATTGCTAGTAACTTGAGCAACATTGACGACCCTGCGCCTTATTGTAGTCTTGATGTTTCCATCCATGACACGGCCTGCAAAGCCATCAAGGCAAGTATTCTCATCTGTTAGTGCAGCACTGACCCATGTCTGCACGTTGCTCATGTGCCACATGAAGGCCCGACCCACAGCTCGTCCCACATGGCTGAGTTCCTTGACTGACTGGCTAAGTCGTTCTACACTGTCGCCCATGTTTTCAATACAGTCTTTCACAGCTTGACGCTCCCTAGGCTTGATGCCCCTGACTTGAGTCATCTTGGTAACAAAAGCCGCAGCTGATTGAGCCTTGGATAGGCTGACTGATAAGGCAGTTTGAGCGAGGTGTTGCTCATTTTGTCGAATCTTACTAGCATAACCTGACAGGCATTGAGCGCATAACGCAGGATACCTTGTGGCTTTGCATGATGCCACGATGTAGTCTGCTGGGCTTGAATTTCTGGGAGAAGCAGATGCAGCTATGCCAGTCATGTATAGGGCGCAGAAGAGAACCAGTACGGAAAAGGCTAGTCTTGCCATGTCTTTGAAGGAGAAGAGATAGCTGAAACGGATGTTGGTGACATGAATAGAATATAGGAGTTAATTTATAGAGAATTCAAAAGATGTTTCCTGTCTTCTTTTTGGATTAAATAAAATGTTGTCAAATGCCTTATTTCTTCTTTAACTGCTTTTGATCTTCTCTCTTTGCGGTGATTGTTTATTGTTTCCCATTCTGTTTGGTGACAAAGCATACTTGGCCAAATTTTCTTTTCTTTGATTTTGAAAGCACTCTGCAATTTGTATAGGTTTGGGACAAAAGCACAATAGCACAAGATTTGGCAATCAAGCAGAGATGAGGGTTGAACTGTACTAGTCAATGTTTTAATGGTCTAACTTATACTGAAAAGAAACTCATTAAGATCAAAACAAAGGAAGACAAATTTGAATGGTCTTGATCAAGCAAATATCATAAACTATTACCATTGAGAACATTCCACGAAACCTGCACCCGACCACAATGAAGCATGGGTTTAGATTGAAGAGGGACATGGAGAGTAACACTCCACAAACAGAGATCATATGCCGGAGCCTTACTCTCGCTACAAAGCTAAGCATGTGAGTGCAGACGCTGATGAATGGATGGTTCTAGCCGACTTTAGGTGCTAAAAATACTGTGGGTTTACCTCTCGTTTTCGAAGTCTAACCACCAAGATTCCAAGCTCAGCCCAAAGCTACCTTCGATATAAGTGCATATGGATTACCTACGACTCCAACCAGTTAATATATTACAGCAACAATTATGTAGTTTTTTTATAAGACTTCCTTTTTATGTCATACTTTACTATAATGTGAAGATATTTATTAGTATTGTTATTTGTTAATCCCAATAATTCTGTTTCCATTCATAATCAATCATTTGACATGAATAACAAATCGAATACTAGCAATACTGTCTTTTTCTACTTTGACAATAATTTTCTAATTGTGCTATCACTGTGATAATGAATCGATCTTCCACTCTTGTTTGAAGAGCAACAAAATAATTGTATAAACTCTAATAGCAAACCATGTCTTTGTACATAAAAAATACTGCCCTGTTTTTAGTACAAAGGCTCATAATTTATGTAAGTATAGAGCAGTACAGTAAATGCTAAACCAAACTCACCAAGAATCAATTAAAAATGCACTGTACTTATCATTAACATTTAAACATGTGTATACTATACCGTCAAGTACTTGAGAACAGCTGCACGAACCTTTTCCATGAAAGCTGCTGCTTGTTTCTGCATGTTTAACATAAATAATTGACCTAAATTTTCGGAGTTCAGTCTGAGTTGGAAGCAGTTTATTAGCATGGTAATAGATTGCAAACAGTTGGTGCGCATATTTTATCAAAGTTTTAGCAGACTAGGAGTTCACATCAAATCTACCGAATATATCAACTGAAAACATATTGGATGAGAGCCATGAGACAAATGGATATAAAATAACAGATATGTAGAGAGAGATGATAAAGGTTGATTGCATGAATGTTTTGACATGAACAACTCCAGTCTATGTTATTGGCCGCTCATCGAACAAATAACTACTAGTGCTACTATTAATTCAGTGATCAGATTTTTAAGAAACCTTGAGGCATATCATTTGGCTTATTTCCAAGAGGTCATATAAAATGGATTAGAACCCATATTGTCCAATAAAGATACAAAAGAAGGCTAAAGAACAAATTTTCTTTACTTAAGGACAAATGCTTTGATCCAAGAAGGAGACTGTATGGAAATGAGCTGAAGTGACACATATAAAAAATGGAAAAAAAAAAGTGAGATAAAATAATATAATTGGTAACTGTAACAAGTGATAATGTTATATGACAACAAAAAAGATCGTTTTGTTGAAACTCTACCAAAATGATGGATTTGAAACCAGAGTTGTCACACATTTCTTTTACAAGGAAGCAAATACAAGTTTTATACACTTCAAATATTAGCTGGAGGCCATATCAGCCTCTTTGTATTCTAATCACGATGTTTAAACAGTCAACCTCAACATCCGTCCGTTGTAGTATTCATTAAAGCAAAACAATGACAACAAAAAGGTTCCAAAAGTAAAAAGTGTGAAGGAAAAAGGTTTTATAGACAGTAGAGACTGAAACACTATTGTTAACCAAATGAAATATTTTACCATGTCAAAAATTCAATTAGCCTACTGAGGACTCTACTAGAGACCAAGAAAACAGTTTTGGAGCTTGAGCAAACTCATTAACTCAAGTGGCCAACATAGGTGAATTTCCATGGGCCAACTAGCACTTGAAAGACAAACATCTTGGTAGATGAATCAAAATTGGAAATGGTATCATCTCAACTTGAGAATAGGCATGAGAACTGGTTTTCTCTTCCTTTTATTTCCTTCCCAGCATCAGCTTAATAGTGAAAATTAAAAGTGTAAAACATTTAACCAAAATCTAAAAGTTAGAAGTGATAGGTTAGGAAGCTGTTTCTCTCCAGAGCATTTGATGGGACCTTACAATCTTTGAGAGACCTAAAATTTGTACTTTTTTACCTCACGCTAAACATTGTGAATATGAATATAAGCATGTAAGCAGGTACTTATGTATCCTTAAATCTTGAAGACGATGCTAACCTGGTTACCCCTGTATGCATTTGCTATGTTTTCGTCAAGAAGTGTCAGTAAGGATCTATTTAGTTCATTGCCTTCAACCATCTCCAACAACTGTAAGGCAACACAAAACTCCGTTGAGCTGCATAAAGTCAGAAATATAAAAGGAACTCCATGAGGGGTAAGGCAGGCACATACAGTTGCTTTTATATCCTTTGACGTCAAGATTTTGGTGAGGCTTTTCTTTGCAGTTATAAGGTCAGCTTGAATTTTATCATATGCTTCTGTGATCAGAGGACCAAGGATATTTGGTCAAAGAGAAAACAACAAAAACTCTTAAACAGTAGGTTAGATGGTTAAAAACCATACCTGTGCCTTCTTGCAAGGCCTTCTGTAGTGCCTCCAGCTCAATCAGTCTGTCCTCCATATCCTGTAAAATTTACCAGTTTTTACATTTCCAATTCTCTCAGGTTAGATAAACAAAGGATTATCACAACATAAAAATTTTTTATAGCAAACCTCGGTCTTTGAAACAGCAAACCGAATCTGGCCTATCTCAAATTTGAGATGCGAGAAAAATTCCTCATCCAATCTACAAAGTTTGCAATAAAGGTCGTGTTTTTTAAGTAAAAGGTTTAACTTTAAAGTGCATTCCATTAATAAAGAAAAGAAATTGGCCATGCAGTCAACAAGAGAAGCCTAAAAACTAAACTTCTCAACAAAAATTCAAGGTTTTAACATAACTCAATATCGGAAGAAGCAAAATCGCAAACAACTAATATGCAATTTTAAGAAACAAGGATTTCACAGCTTTTTCATACAAAATTATAGTACTAACCTCTGCCTTAATCTTGCAATCTCAAACTCAATCTCCTGAGCTTCAGTGTCAAGAAAATACTCAATCAACTCCGCTGGAGTATCGGGCATTACCCTGGACTGATAATAACACCACAACAAGAAAAAAATATTTAAAAATACACCTAAAAACCCCACGGAATAAATAGTATTACATAAAGAACACGTTAGTAAAGTTATCATACTTGGCGAAGAGCTAGGCGACGTTCTTTCTCTTCGCGTAAATGTTGCTCAAATGCCTCTCGAGCCTCTGCATCTCTCTCTAATCGTCTTTTAAACTCGAGCCGAGCCAGGTGTCCTGTCTGCGGCGGTCCAAATATACCATCCGGGTCCTTCCTTCGATAAAACAAGCAATAATTCAATCCAAAGCTTCAATTTATCAAAACATAATATAAAAAAAAAACAATTCAAACCCAGAAAATTTATAAAGTTTTGTACCCATTGGACGCAGGAGATTTTATGCCTGAAGTGGGTTCGTTTTACTGTTGTCGCACGAAAGGCAGTGGCGGCAGAGGTGGCGATGCCAATTGAGAGAGTGGCCATTGTTAGTGGCCCTACGGTAGAAGCTTTCTTCTGCTTTCTGGTTTTCGGTGGGTTATTGAAGATGTGTTGGATGGCGTCTTATCCGTTACAATTATTGCTCTTTAACATGTTTTTAATTTTCATTTTCGGTCGATCTTGTTGGGTAGTGGCGGGAAGAACGGCCATTAGATGGCATGGATTTTCAGCTCTCATCTGCACCGTTACCAAAGGAGCGCTACCTTTTGGGCTCAAGCGTTGGGCTTTTTGTTTGGATGCCAGCTTGACGACACCCTATACCCAACCCAAATATATTCCTAATTAGAATGTGCACTATCAAACAGACAAAAAAACAAATCACATAAAATAGCAAGAAAAAACTCTTATATATTGCCAAAGTTTTATATTGTTTTAATTAAAATAATAAATGAATATAATTATTAAATTGACACGTGGTAATCTTATATTAATTATGAAATTAAAAAATTCCATCATTAAAACATAAACTTATATTCTAGAAACCAAATTCGACTTGGTGTAATAGTCAAAACAATAAAGAAAAATATATTGCAAGAAACTATCATTTGAACAGTCATAACTGATCAAAATTGAAATCTGTGACTCCCTTGTTGTCCACTCCATCAATTTATACTATTCTCAGTTCTGGTCTAGTTTATGTTTGCTTGTTCGTTCTGCTTTCTGTCACCGGCTGCTTCAAGAGAAAAATTTCATCCAACAAGAAAACCGTTGAAAGAGCAAGCGAGCACGTAATCAACAAGCACTGCAAGCTGTCCTCCCAAGGACTATTCCTCCTTTGAATGTTCTTATTTTCTTATAATTCAATAATAAAATTCTGATTTTCCACGAACACCGTTAATCGAATCTTTGTTTTTTTTTAATAAAAAAGGTAAAAAACTAATCATAGTCGATAAACAACAAACCACACAGTCCCCACCAAAAAAAAATAATTTCACGCACACATCATTTGTAATTTTTTTTTATCAATATTTTATGAATATTTTGAGAAAAAGTTAAATTATTAATTCTACTCAATAAAATTATAAAAATATTTTCAAACATGGACAAATATATTAATTTTAAATTAAAAATGTTTTAATAATTTTTTAAAAGGAAAAAGAAGGGAGAGAAGTTTAATTTATAAATAAAAAATTTAAAATCTTATATTAATTTTTTTTTTCTCTTCTCCACCAATCGAGCTTGGATGAGTCATGACTAGATGACGCACTTGATGAGAAGAGGATGTTGTAGCAATGCAACCTTTTTATATGTTTTTTCACAAGCCAAAAGAAATAAAGACTAAGAATGCGTCGACTGGATTGACAAATTGACTATCCATTTCACACTTGTTTTTGGTTTTATCTTTATATCAGCTTGGGTATTTATTGACTTGTTGTCACTTCGATCATTTGATGGCGGCCTCTTAAAGCCAAGGTCTTATCTGTTATTTACTCCCTGTTTTGTCTTATTTGTCTGATTTGAGTTTTTTTTTTAAATTAAATATATTTAATTTTGATAATTAATTTTTAAAATATTATATAAAAATTTAAAATATACATTTTCAAAAGTTTGAAATTAAAATTTTTCAAAGTTTCATTTTTAAAAGTTTAATAATTTTATGATTTTATTAAAATACAAAAGTCAAAATTAAACTCAGTTAATAAAAAAAATGAACAAGACATAAAATAATAAGACAAAGAAAAAGAATTTGTTTTGTCGGCTTGCACAATACTTCATTGGTCAATGTTTTAGAGCTTCTTTTTTTTATAAATTATTTTTCAACAATTATGAAATTTTACTAGGTTTTGCATTAAGCACTATTAAGATTTAGTCTATTCTTTCATAACACAAACTCCCACCTCCCATCACCAAAATTTGAGTTTGACACCTTCAATTAGCATAAATTTATTAGGAACACAGGACTACAATCAGCATCGACCATCAGGTTCATTCAGTGGCAAAGGAAAGGGATCTAAGAGGAGCCCACTCCTTAAAATTTAAAATTTGTATAATATATTTTTGTTTTTTTCTTAAGTTTTATAATTTTATTTCTATGAATATTAAATTTTTAATATAACTATTTTATTTTATAAATATTATTCTTATCTCAAATGCCAAATTTTAACTCGGTCCCTTAATTCATAGGAGCAATTGAGTGCTTTCTTTAGAGTTGCGTTAGTTCATTGGGTAGACAGAATTCAACCGTGGCCGCCCCTGGCGTATTGCCAAACGCCTAATGATCATCTGGAGCGATTGAGAATGAACTTTTCCAGCCAATTCCATTATTTTATTTTCAAATCAATAATCAATTACCTGTTTCTTTTCATAATGATTTGATGTGACAACGCGTGTATGATCTGTGCTGCAAATAAACAATATAATAAGACATTAAATTGAGTTCAAGATGGTGGTTGGGGATTTTCAGCTCCACTCTGTTTTCTGGGGAAGTCTATAGCACGAATCCTCCTTTCTACTCCTCGCCCCTAAACCAGGGGAAGGCCAGGGTTGCAACCTAGCACCTGCTCTTAGAATAATTTTTTTTGAAAATTTATCTTATTAACAAGTTTCACCTGCCACAAATTCAAAGGAAATTCATAAATAATAATCTATTTATTAATCCATTATCATTTTTCCCTCCTCAGTTAATAGGATCTAATTTTAATAACTGTATTAATAATTTGCTTATTTGTCAAAGCTCATAATATCAATAATAATTTGATCTTTTTTGAAATTATCAAATAGGGTTTGTATGTGTTCCACTGCCACCTATGCATGTGATGCAATTTAATTATATACACAAAAGCCAGGTTTTAGAACTAGTATATTTAATCTAGCTGTTATTGACAAAAAAAATTAAGAAACCTATAAATGATTATTGAATGAAATTGTAAAAATAATAGGCCAAAAGTACTAACATTAAAATTAATAATTGTAGGAAAATTTAGTTTAAATAGTTTCAATATTAATTAAGTCGACCTAACAAATCATAAAAAAAATTAATTTTTTTCCCTCAATCAATTCAAACTATCTTGAGAAAATAACACAATTCCGCAAATTCCCGAGCGTGGAGTGATATCCCAAGGAGAGCGCGTTTCTAATTCATCTTCTGCTCTGACATGTCCAAACCCAAGACTTTTCTTCCCATCCGAAAAAGGTCACTATTTAAACAACAGCCATATGCGCAGAGTGGACAGAGAAACAGCAGTCAGGGATAACACAGAGTACGAACAGGAAAAGAGAAAACTGAATTCCTAACGCCATGGCTAAGTTGTTGATCATGGTGGTTCTTGTGATTTTGGGCACGGTGGCAACCGTTACGGATGCGCAACCGGCTTGCGCGTCGAAGCTGACTCCTTGTTTTCCTTTCCTTAACAACGCCACGGCAAAACCTACAGACGACTGCTGTACCCCTATCAAAGATACCGTGGCTAATGATCTTGCATGCCTCTGCAACCTCTACAACGACCCTGCTTTGCTTTCCTCTTTGAACATCACGGTCGCTGCAGCTCTCAGGATCTCTCGCGAATGCGGAGTCAGTACTGATATCAGCGCTTGCAACGGTATGTTCCTATAGATTGATAACCGTATCATCACCGAAGTAATTTGTTTGGATTTGTCATTCCTTTCCTTTTGCCCTTTACTCTTTGTTAATATGGAGTATGAAGTTTGTATCATAGTTCATGTTTCGGTTTGGAAATTCTGATGATAGATATCTTTCATGTTTGCATAGTTTTCTTTTGGTTTTTAATTTTAAGACATGCTAGAATTCTTCATAGTTTTGATTAATTGACTTATTACTAATTTCTTGATTTTTGTTTTTCCTGCTACAGCCACGTCTCCCACTTCTTCTCCATCCCCACCAGGTAACAAAGCATATCTTTAACTTTCTCAAATGAACTGTTATTATTTTCCTTCTCAGGAGACGAAAGGGGAGAAAATTGTATAAAAGGAAAGGATTGCAGTTAACCTCTTTTCAAAATAAGCGATTCTTGATGAGTTAATCTGAAGTAACTGCTAGCCATATGAGTCTGAGTTGTTGTCAGTTTAACCAGCCTCGGAGAAAACATGACAACTTTACTTGTTGGGAGATTAGAAGGAGAAAACGTGTGAACTAATGGGCCTACCAAAATGTTATTTTGTTGTTTTTCTTTAATTGATCGGGAAGCCATTATTGAAGCTTTAATTGACGCCTGCTAGTCTATGAATTTGATACTTTCGGTGCTTCCAAAATTGACTTGAAAACTACGGCCAAAAATAAAGGATTTTCTTTAATACCTAACATCATAGTGCATACAATTCATGGGAGAGAGTAAACAATGTTTTATTTTATTCATTTGGTTGCGGAATTTTTATTCATATGGGGAGAAAAGAAGCATATACACTGTTCAAATCTTGGTAGTTGTTTGCTAATTAGAAAAGTAATCAATGAAAGTGTCAAACACACAACCAAACAATATTATTAGGTCCATGCTTTTACATTTTCTTGGTATTATTCCCTGTGTCTCTTTCTTGTTCTTTCTTTTTTTTATCCCCCTTAATTCTCACATGACCAGGCTTAGGTAAGTTGTTTATATTTCTTTTAAAAGACTCTTTCTTATTCCCTCCAGCTGGGCTCAATTCTAGAACTTGAGGCACGGTTATTTAATTCTTTTTCAGGGGCCCATGCCCCTTGAACATGAATATAGTGCAAATTGGTGTTGGAAAAAAAACTCAGGCTTAGTTGGATCAAATAATTGTATAAATTATTTAGTTAAAATTATGATACAACCTTATTATCTAATTAGTTTACAATATCTAGGTAGACTACCATATCTAATCAGAGTTAGGTTATAAATAGGAATAACCACTTCTTCGTTTCGATTTTTCAAAGAGAGAGAGATTGCAATCTTGGTGGTTTAGGAGGATCTCCTTTCTAGGGATGTGCTTCTTATGCAGTGGGAAATTGAGAATGGGATGCTGTGGGAAGTTGAGGGAAAGTGGGTTGTGAAAGGAGCTGTTGA